CTCATGTATGAATATTGTGGATACATAAATGAATATTTGTGTATTGAGATTGAATACTTAAGTTGCTGCTACATAATTATAAATATGTAGAGAATTACAAATAATGAGGATAATGGTATGATAACAATAATCTTAATAGTATTGAAATACTAGTTAGTGATTATTGGAACTTGTTGATTAAATTGATCCTAGGGATTGGATTGTACGAAAGGTACTTGAATATAGTTCAAGTGTATATAATAACTTAGTTTGGAACTAAGGTTAAGTTATGGGAAGTCTTTAAGGATGACCCAAGGTAGTTTAATGATATGCCAATTCTAGGCATAGGGTTGCTTGAGAATTGGACCTTAATGCATGGTGATGTAATAGAGCCGAGCTCTAGAATGCATGTAAGGTGTAGACTTGGAGTCTATGTATTGTATAGCTAGAGCCGAGCTCTAGGACTTGCGTGGTGATGTAATAGAGCCGAGCTCTAGAACGCAAGGTAAGGAAATTGACCCGAGGTATATGAATTGTATGGTGATGTAGTAGAGCCGAGCTCTAGAATACAATGTCATGTACTAGGGTTGGACTCTAGGAGTTGTCGTGGCTTATAGCCACGGGGTTGGGAATGGTGATTTCCAAATGAAAACGGGCCCACGGGCCGACTACTTGACTTTTATATAAAGTAAGTATATTTTTAAACGGGGTAACTTAGGGTTACAATCATAATGTACTATCACCCTACTTGAGGGTCTTGTGTTCGAAATACTTGTTGTATATCTATTAGATGCCTGCCACACCAGTACTTTATAGCCGTATAGAGTACTGACCCCTTCGGGGGCGTCCCACCACCATTTCAGGTTGAGGCTAGAGCTTGCTTCCTGTGCTCGGTGCCCGAGTGATTTCCCCGGAGAGAAGACTTGGTTCGTGCTTCCTCCATTCTGTTTTAGAACGTTAATAAACATGCTCATGAATATTTTACTTTAGAGCCTGCGTGCTCATGTTTGCCCTGTGTGGCCCTTTTGTTTAAACAATGTTTTCCGCTGCGTATTCAATTGTTTATTATGTATGTTTATGGATGACTTAGGTGTGAATGATATTCATGACGCCTTGTATAATATGAATGTGTTGGACTGCGGTTGACTATTCGTATTGTACGGCGGATTGTTGACGTGTCCGGGGAGGTCCGGGGCGTGACAATTAAGTTGGTATCAGAGCCTTAGTCCATAAACTTCATAATGAAGTCTCAAAATTCTCTTTTTGAAAAGATTTTGAAAACCATGAGCATAGAAGTTTTGTACTTGGAGAGCTTTTGGTACTTGGGTTGCAAGGTCTCTAATTGTTAAGATGGTACCCTTAGCAATTGGTAGGGCAGTGACTCGAGCCAAAATGTGTCTTAAGTACCTATCCGTCAATTGACATTTGATACGAGTCTAACGACTCTTTCCCAATTTCTTTCAGAAATGGACCGTGGTGGCAGGATTACTAGGAGAAACCCGACCGGCCGTGTACCAGAGGAGACTGGACAGGGCAGTCGAAGGACCTCTAGGGCATCTAGAGGAGCTGGCCGTGGAGGCCGATCACAGACCGTGAGTGACGGTCATGTCGACACAGAAAGTGAAACCTACTGGTCCTATGAGGACTCGACTTACCAACCGGGGACCGAGCCGGTTGAGACCCCTTACGAAGGGGATGATGATGATGTGAGCGATGAAGAGGGGGAGAATGACTCCCTAGCAAGAATAGAGGCGCTGCTCCAACAATATCACCGTGAGCGTGAAGAGAGGAGGGAACGCCGAAGGCGCCGGGCTGGGCAACCTTCGGGCATGGCTTCACGAGGAGGAAGTCATGGTGCATCTAGAGTCCATGTGGAACCACGTGGAGGCCAAAATGATGGAGGTCCAACCATAAGGATCTCCAAGTACATCAAAGAAGCAAGAGATTTGGGGTGCAAACCCTTTGATGGAGCAGGGGACATTTCAGTGGCAGCACAATGGATCAAGAGGCTAAATGAAGCGGCCCTTGACATGCAAATCGCGCCGAATCTCAAACTGAGAATTGCGGTAAGATTGCTCGAGGGGATGGCATCTAAGTGGTGGGATGGAACCAAGAACAAGTACGGTGAGACCGTTGTTTGGGAGGACTTCCAACGGGAGTTCTTTGCCCAATACTATTCTGATTTCGAGGTGAATAAGAAGGTGAGGGAATACACCCTCCTAACCCAAGGGGGTAACATGTCAGTGAAGGAGCTGGAGTACAAGTTCCGGGATCTCGCCGACTACATACCGGAGTATGCTTGTGACGAGAACCGCATGGTGAACCACTTTTGGGACGCTCTTGACTTGGAGATACGTGATAGGGCAACGCAATTGCCTAATATGACTTTCGCCCAAGTGGTTGAACAAGCATTGAAAGGGGAGAAACAGTGGGTGGAACGGAAGAAGAGAGACGCCGAAGAGGCGAAGAAGAGAAAATGGGAGAGTCATGGCTCCCAAGGTTCCAACAAAAGGGGGAACCACGGAGGAGGATCTTTCCGGGCACCACCGCCACCATCAAGGGGGAACCAAGGCCCAAGTGGGCAAGGCTCGAGGTCACAGACCTCAGTGGTAACTCGTTGCAACAATTGCAAGAGGAACCATTCCGGTAAATGTCGCGACCCCCCTAGATGTTTCCAATGTGGGGATGCCGGGCATTTGAAGGCACATTGCCCACAACTGGGCGGGGCAAGGACATCGGGACCAAGTAGTGGCCCGACGGGTACACGGAATCAGACCGGGGCTTCTCAAGCAAGCAGGGGGCAAGGGGGAGCAAGTGCGAGCAACGCGCCATCCGTGAACCAAGGGAGGACCCAGGCTAGGGTCTATGCGATGACGGAGGCGGATGCTCAAGCTAACCCGGACTCCGTCGCAGGTATTGCCTCTCATATACTAGTGTTTATCCTTAATTAGTCCATAAATTGAGGATACTAATCGCTAGGATCATTGCACGAGGTTTTGGGGTCGAACCGGGGGATTTCGGGCAACTTCAGGCGGCTGGGACCCAGGCACGATCGTGCCTAAGGCAGACACGATCGTGCCTCCAAGTCAGTAGCTGCCCAGGAAAATTCCCAACCCAGGCACGATCGTGCCTAAGGCAGACACGATCGTGCCTACAAGGCAGTAGCTGCCCAGGTGTTTCTTCAAACCAGGCACGATCGTGCCTAATCCAGACACGATCGTGCCTCCAAATCAGTGGCTCCCCAGGATTTCCCAACCCAGGCACGATCGTGCCTAAGGCAGACACGATCGTGCCTCCAAGGCAGTGGCACCCTGGGCGTTTCCCCAAGCCAGGCACGATCGTGCCTACCCCAGACACGCCGTGCCTGGCACCCAGATTGCCGAAACCCGATTTTTTCGCATCGTTTTGCGACGTTAAGGCCTCTTCTTGATCCCTAACGTGCGTGTGAACATTGCAACCTTCTATAAATGAGTAGGGAGGGTAGGAAAGATGTCTTACATGGTTCATGAATGTAGGGACACTAAAGATTAACGGGAAGGATGCACGAATCCTTATCGATACCGGAGCGCAACGTTCATTCGTGAGTGAGGCGTTTGCCGAGAGCTTAGAGATGCAATCAATACCAATGACACAAACCTTAGTGGTATCAACCCCACTAGGGGAAGACGTTGAAAGAAACAATTACTATCCATCTTGTATGGTGGAAATCGGTGGCCAAACCTTGACGTGTGATTTCGTACCGCTGAGTATGATGGAGTTCGATGCAATCCTAGGGATGGATTGGCTAGAAAAGCATCATGCTAGGGTAGATTGCTACACAAAGGTGTTGGAACTCGAAGGCACACAGGGGGACACCCTACGCTTCGAGGGGGACCGCGGCAAATCAAATAGTTGTATCATATCCGCCGTGAGAGCGAGAAATATGATGAGGAAGGGATGCCACGCATATCTAGCATACGTGGTTGACAAAACCAAAGAGGAAACGAACGTCGATGATGTGAGGGTGGTTTGTAAGTATCCGGATGTCTTCCCTAAAGACCTACCGGGGCTTCCACCTGACAGAGAGATTGAATTTGTGATCGAGGTCGAGCCTGGTACCAAACCAATCTCCATACCGCCATACCGGATGGCACCCGCTGAACTTAACGAGTTGAAAACCCAATTGCAAGAGCTTTTGGATAACGGTTTCATTAGACCAAGCCACTCCCCGTGGGGAGCACCGGTTCTTTTTGTGAAAAAGAAAGATGGGACACTTCGAATGTGCATTGACTATCGTCAACTGAACAAGGTCACAATCAAGAATAGGTATCCGTTGCCTAGGATTGATGACTTGTTTGATCAACTACGAGGAGCAACCGTGTTTTCGAAGATTGACTTGAGGTCGGGGTACCATCAATTGAAGATTAAGGAAGATGACATACCAAAGAGTGCTTTCCGCACAAGGTATGGGCATTTTGAGTTCCTTGTTATGTCGTTTGGGTTAACAAACGCCCCGGCGGCATTCATGGACTTGATGAACCGAGTATTCCATAAATACTTGGACCGATTCGTGATTGTGTTCATAGATGACATCTTGATTTACTCAAAGAGTGAAGAAGAGCATGAGGAGCACTTGATACTTGTTCTTGAAACACTACGGGAGAAGCAACTCTATGCCAAATTTTCTAAATGTGAATTTTGGCTAAAGGAGATTGGCTTCCTCGGGCACGTGGTTTCGGGATCGGGGATTGCTGTTGATAACAAGAAGATAGAAGCCATTACTGAATGGGAGAGGCCAAAGAACGTCAAGGAAATTCGTAGTTTCCTTGGATTGGCAGGCTACTATAGAAAGTTCGTGGAGAAGTTCTCTGTTTTGGCATCGCCATTGACGAAGCTCACTCGTAAAGGAGCTAAGTTTGTATGGGATGACAAATGTGAGAAAGGGTTCATGGAACTAAAGAAGAGATTGACTGAGGCACCGGTACTTGCATTACCCAAACAAGGTGTGGGGTACGATGTCTATAGCGATGCGAGCATCCAAGGGCTCGGATGTGTACTGATGCAGAATGGGAGGGTAATCGCCTATGCTTCACGACAATTGAAGAAGCATGAGGTGAATTATCCTACTCATGATTTGGAGCTCGGGGCAGTGGTATTTGCACTGAAGATATGGAGACATTATCTCTACGGGGAGACATGTCACATATACACTGATCACAAGAGCTTGAAGTACGTGTTTACTCAGAAAGAGTTAAACATGAGACAGAGACGGTGGATGGAGCTGATAAAAGACTACCATCTAGTGATAGAGTATCACCCAGGCAAGGCAAACGTGGTGGCAGATGCTTTGAGCCGGAAGAGCTCGTCTGGGGCATTGATAACTAATTTGAGGGCATTAAGAGCCCAACTGGAGGTAACCAGCGATGGTGCCTTATTGGCACGATTTGAGGTGAGACCCACTTTACTTGATGAGATCAAGAAGGGTCAGGAAGCCGACGAAGAACTTATGAAGGTCCGGGAACGCATGCAAGCGGGGCCGGTGGAGGATTTCAGGGAAAGAGATGATGGTCTCTTGTTATTTCGTGACCGAGTGTGTGTACCGTCAGATGATGAGCTCCGAAAGTCCATCTTAGAGGAGGCTCATTCATCGGCTTATGCCATGCACCCGGGGGGCACGAAAATGTACCGTGATTTGAAGGAAAGTTACTGGTGGTCTGGAATGAAGAGGGAAATAGCCGAGTACATCAGTCGGTGCCTTACTTGTCAACAAGTTAAGGCAGAACATCAGCACCCAGCAGGCTTATTGCAACCACTCTCCATCCCTGAATGGAAGTAGGAGCACGTGACTATGGATTTCGTGGTAGGCTTACCACGGACTATCAGGAACTATGACGCGGTTTGGGTCGTTGTGGATAGGCTCACAAAGAGTGCACACTTCTTGCCTATCAACACTACCTACCCACTTGAGAGGTTAGCCAAATTGTATACGGATGAGATCGTGAGGCTGCATGGGGTCCCGGTGACCATTGTATCTGATAGAGACCCACGATTCACATCACGTTTTTGGCCGAAATTCCAGGAGTCTATGGGAACGAAGTTGAAGTTCAGCACTGCTTTCCATCCACAGACGGATGGGCAGTCTGAAAGGGTTATACAGATCCTAGAAGACATGCTTAGGGCTTGTGCATTGGAGTTCCAGGGGAGTTGGGACAACCACTTAGCACTTGTGGAGTTTGCCTATAACAACAGTTATCAGGCAAGCATCGGCATGCCTCCATACGAGGCATTGTATGGGAGGAGGTGCCGTACACCGTTATGCTGGGACGAGGTTGGCATGGCCAAACTCGAGGGTACTGAGTTGGTGGAGGTCACCAAATCAAAGGTGAAGTTAATTCGAGAGAGACTCAAGGCGGCTCAGGATAGACAAAAGAGTTATGCAGATAAGCGTCGAAGAACCTTAGAGTTTAAGGTTGATGACGAGGTATTCTTGAAAGTTTCTCCTTGGAAAGGGATCATTCGGTTCCAAACCCGAGGAAAACTTAACCCACGATATATAGGTCCATTCAGAATTATAGAGAGGATTGGGGCCGTAGCATATCGTCTACAGTTGACTCCTGAGTTAGAGAAGATACATAATGTGTTTCATGTATCCATGCTTAAGAAGTATGTGCATGATCCCTCTCACGTATTGGAGAAGCCACCTGTAGAGGTACGTGAGGATTTGAACTACTCTGTTCAACCTATCAAGGTCACCGATAGAAAGGTGAAGAAACTGAGGAGCAAGGAAGTCCCAATGGTTAAAGTCTTGTGGAAGAGCGATCGGGTCGAAGAAGAGACATGGGAAACAGAGGCTTTGATGAGGAAGCAGTATGCTTTCCTATTCGAGTAGAGCTGTGAATTTCGGGGACGAAATTCCTGTTAAGGGGGGGTGAACTTGTGACACCGCACCCGAATGTCCTTGGAAATTTGATTTGAATATTCATAGCTTATGTATTGGATTTCCGATTCCCAAACATTTTGTAAAACGATCAATGTTCTACGTAGTGCATGGTTGGATATCGTACTGTTCAAACTCGTACATTAGTGTCGGGTTTCGCAAATACTTACTCGGGACTTATTAATAAATAAAAAAGCCCAACATTACCAAAATAGTGAAAGAATGATTAAAGGAGAATACAAATGTCTATAACCCCATCTTTGGCATTATTGAGCTAAATAATGGGAGTAGGATTTTCCTTCTAAAATATCCATCAAGTAAATTATTGGGATGAGCCTACACATATTGGAGAGCAATAATGTGATTTAGGAAGTTGACTTGTTCTAAATAAATTAGGATGAGTACAAGAAGACATCTTTGACAAAGACAAAACAATAGGACCCATCTTCCCATTTTTGGAAGTATTGGTAGATATTTTGGACCCCAAATTTAATGGGATCAATTGGGAACCACTCCACATGATATTAGTACCTGCAAAACAAATAAAAATGGGTTAGAAGACCTACCTTGGCCGTCCATAATGGAGGGGAGCTGCACATGACTTGATAGGAATCAAAACTTGGGCCACCATCCTTATTTTCGCACAAATTGGTGTGCTGTTTGTCTCCTCTCATTATAGAAGCTATACTCGACCAAACAACGTGAATAATATGTCCTTGGATAGCCTTTGAAGTCTATTATCTCAATTGAGTGGTCTTTGTTCGAGGAGAGAAGGCTTATCTTACAAAAATCGAGCTGGAACGAGCAGAGGTCTGTGAACTCGAGCTGTGAGAGTGCTGAGACTGTTTGGTCGATATCTCGAGTTTTACAAATCCAATTAAGGCGTGTGAGATACCCACAGAAAGCTCTCAAGACGAGGAATCCGTGAAGGTCTGGTTTGCAGGAATCGGAGTTGTGGAAGGCTTCCAAATCGTCCGAGAAAAACGCAACCTCGCAGGAGAGGATTTAATCCTCTAAAGTGAGTTTTAAACCCCAAAGCTTTACTTTTCATTCTCCAAATGATATGAACGATTGGTGAGACTATTATACACTAATCCAAGTGTATAATATGTCCTTATAAAGTTATTTTATTGATGTAAAGGTTAGATACTAACCTAGATGCAAATATTGGAAAACTAGGAATCGAGTTAGCCGGAAAACACCCGTTCTAGGGGCTGTTTTCGTATCAACGATTAAGGGTTGAACTAGCACTTTGAGGAGGCTGTTTAACACTCATATTTGAGCAAGGAATCAGTTCCAAATCCACCTTGACCAAAGCTTTGACCATTGGACCAAGAAGGGAAAGTTTAAAGCTCAATTGAGGTGAGGATTGACATCTAATTGCTTACAACTTGTAGGTTAAGCACGAGATTACCTAAATGCTTAAATCATGATTTTTCATGGATTATGATGATTATATATTGATGAAATATTGATATAGTTGCCAAGGAATGAAATTTGAAATGATTTGAGAAGGTATGAATAATATGAGATTAAATGAGTACAAATGAACTATTTTGTGAAAATGGGCATTTTGCTCATGTATGAATATTGTGGATACATAAATGAATATTTGTGTATTGAGATTGAATACTTAAGTTGCTGCTACATAATTATAAATATGTAGAGAATTACAAATAATGAGGATAATGGTATGATAACAATAATCTTAATAGTATTGAAATACTAGTTAGTGATTATTGGAACTTGTTGATTAAATTGATCCTAGGGATTGGATTGTACGAAAGGTACTTGAATATAGTTCAAGTGTATATAATAACTTAGTTTGGAACTAAGGTTAAGTTATGGGAAGTCTTTAAGGATGACCCAAGGTAGTTTAATGATATGCCAATTCTAGGCATAGGGTTGCTTGAGAATTGGACCTTAATGCATGGTGATGTAATAGAGCCGAGCTCTAGAATGCATGTAAGGTGTAGACTTGGAGTCTATGTATTGTATAGCTAGAGCCGAGCTCTAGGACTTGCGTGGTGATGTAATAGAGCCGAGCTCTAGAACGCAAGGTAAGGAAATTGACCCGAGGTATATGAATTGTATGGTGATGTAGTAGAGCCGAGCTCTAGAATACAATGTCATGTACTAGGGTTGGACTCTAGGAGTTGTCGTGGCTTATAGCCACGGGGTTGGGAATGGTGATTTCCAAATGAAAACGGGCCCACGGGCCGACTACTTGACTTTTATATAAAGTAAGTATATTTTTAAACGGGGTAACTTAGGGTTACAATCATAATGTACTATCACCCTACTTGAGGGTCTTGTGTTCGAAATACTTGTTGTATATCTATTAGATGCCTGCCACACCAGTACTTTATAGCCGTATAGAGTACTGACCCCTTCGGGGGCGTCCCACCACCATTTCAGGTTGAGGCTAGAGCTTGCTTCCTGTGCTCGGTGCCCGAGTGATTTCCCCGGAGAGAAGACTTGGTTCGTGCTTCCTCCATTCTGTTTTAGAACGTTAATAAACATGCTCATGAATATTTTACTTTAGAGCCTGCGTGCTCATGTTTGCCCTGTGTGGCCCTTTTGTTTAAACAATGTTTTCCGCTGCGTATTCAATTGTTTATTATGTATGTTTATGGATGACTTAGGTGTGAATGATATTCATGACGCCTTGTATAATATGAATGTGTTGGACTGCGGTTGACTATTCGTATTGTACGGCGGATTGTTGACGTGTCCGGGGAGGTCCGGGGCGTGACAATGATAATATGATTATGTGAGCATGATTGATGAATCACTTGTTGATATGATCAAAATGTGATTAAATTATACCAAAACAGACTACTTTTAAACAGATAGAATTAAAATAAATTATCTAAATTGATCGGATCAAATAAATTTAGGGGATCCATAGCTAAGAAAAATACATTTTTATATCGCGTTTTCGAGAAGCTCATTCAACACTTATTAAAACTATTACTCAACGAGCAATCAAAGCTTTTATTTTAGCTGGTCGAGGCAGTGAAGTTAAGTGCCAACCCAACATTTCTATGAATGGTGTAACTCACGCATTGGCAATGACAGCCCTTTCATATACGAGTGGTGGAGTAATTTTGTGTGCATCTTTTTTAGCGAATGATTGTATTAATTAATAAGAGTCTTGCGATTTACTCTCATAAAAAATTGTTGCAATATACCATAGGGGTATCAACATTTGTGTCAAGGATTCTCCTGAATCCACTATGGCAACTTTGACCGAGGCTGATCTCGCTTAAGTTGAGCTCAAACCAATTCTCTAATCATCGATAAAAGTCCAAAATTGCGATCGAGACTCAGGCTGACATTCGTGGATGGTTGGTGACACTTCCAGCACTATGGTCGAGCTCCAAGTCAATTGCCGCGTGACGAGTTCGAAATCAATAAAGACATTTATGCTTCACATTATGAGCTGAGATTACTTATCTCTTAGCTAAACACACTACATCCAAGTTTGGCCTCTAAGCTTAGGACCTCAGATAGAGATTGTGGACTTATCATTTCACCAATAAGGCATCATAACATTCACGATTTCACAAAAAAAAAAACATTCAGGATTTCATCATTAAATGAGAGTGTCACAGTATTAATGTCATGCAATTCGGTTACACATGCCAGCTGTCAGACTTACACATGTGGCTTATCCGGTCAGTCCAGTACGCAAGGACAAAAGCCTATACAACAGTACCAATCAATTAAAAATTATCTCTTCAATTAGCTTTACAAGTGTCGATAGACTAGTGAGGCAGTTACTTTTACCCTTTCCTCAAGTATTTCATTGTACACTAGAAAATATCACCTTCCTATTTGTTGAAACGAAACACGTTTCTCATTCTCAATCTTACTCGTACTCTGTCAAATTTCTTACTCGATCTACACTTTGCATATTTTCCGACTCTTCCTCGATTTTGCCTAACCCTAAATCAGGAAAACCATCAATCTCAATATCTTTTTGTTTTATTTTTTATTATTTATTTTTTTACTATCAATTTAATATCAATATAATGCATAAAATCTTAAACTTATATATAAAAAAATTATTTTAGAAATTCATTTTTACCGAAATTTTAAGTGTGACCAAACTTGGACTGAAATAGGTCCCGATACGTATTGGCCCCCGTTATATTTTATATTTGAAGGGCAAACCAGTCCAGAGCCAAGTTGACCCTAAATCGGATTATGACCATGCCTATGTATATTCATTTTTACCGCCATGCCAAAATGTACTACTCCCTCCCTTTGAATATCCACCAAGTATACCCTTTTATCCAACAGGTATCCAACAAGTATATACTAGTTAAAATGTACTACTTCGTCTCTTTTTATTTAGCCAACTTTGACTTTTCCAGTCAAAGATGATAATCTTCAGATGCATGTACGCCTTGGAGCAAGTTACATCCTGATTACACATGATTTACATTTTTCATAATGCGGGCTACATCACAATGAGTTACATTTGAATACATTATATTTCCATTTAATAATAGCGCGAGTTACATACCAAAACAAAGGATTTACATCACGAAAAAAGTGGAAACAAATGCATGAGTACTGTTCACGCGAATTTTATCCTTGGGATTACGGTGCTCACCGTGCACCGGTTGCACGGTATACGCATTTTGAATGTACCCCAACACACTTTCCTTAACAAAACAAAAATCTCCTCCAAAATTTCTACGAGCCATTCGGTGCCAGCTTCTAGATTATCTAGAGATCGATTTTTAACAAGTTTTCAGAGAAGTTCCATGATTGCTTAGCTAGCTAATCATTTGGATTTTTCATTTGGTCATCTCGATTTTTCATAACTACTTACGTCAACGATCTTGATTAGGCTGCTCATCTTACGTCATTGTTTAGGGAGTACTTTTGATCTTATTATTTCTTTTTTGCAAAGATTTATCTCATTATCAGGATTCAAAGATTTATCTCATTATCAGGATTTTCAGCTGATAATTTTAAGGATGTTTTCTTTTGGACTGAAATTTGCTGGTCTGGTCTGGTCTGGTCTGAACTGGTCTGGTCTGGTCTGGTCTGGTAAATGTCTGGTCTCTGTGTATTTTATAATTACGGAAGTCTGGTCTGGTCTGGTCTGGGACTGAAAACAGTCCAAAAGAAAACATCCTAAATGGACATACCAAGACTCACTCTCTAACAATTGGCAAGTTGTGTATCCTCATCAAAGGCACTTCAATAGATTAGTGGAAAAAGAAAAAAAAATACGCAGTACAAAGAAATGGGTTGGACCGGGACCACGGACGGTCTGATACCAAATACGAGGAGCCCGGACCCTTGAATCCCCAATTTCAAGGCCCTCACGTTCTATTAACGTATATTAGCATTATTAGCATATAGATAGTATATTCTTTCCATTGTCATGTACTAGTATCATTATCGTATCATTCTATTTTTGGTTATTTCCTTATAATAGGGTCATATCACCTTGTATATATTGAGGCATGGGTGTACTTGTCATGATATACGAGAAACTTGGCACTCTTCTGCTGCTTTGTTCTCACGCTCCAATCCGAGAAGACATATAAGATGTTAATTACGATGATCAAGTCAGCCCAATGATAATAGAACGAGCATCATTACGGAGTTTTGGTACGTCATTTTTGTGGACGATATACTTAATGGCTTATGGATACCTAGTATTTACTTGGATATTCAAAACTTATTGTAACTGTATATTTTAAATTGTAATCTACAATTAATTTAATGATCAATAAAATAATGATTTATCCACGAATTCCTACCCGTATAACATAGAATGTGATGGAGGCATGGAGCAACGATGGAAACATAGAGAGGTTGGAGGGGCTATCACTCATATCAATCAAGTCAAGAAAAAAGAAATTATAAATATTTATAAGGTATGATCGTGTTCGGATGGAGGGACAAAATCCCCCTTCCAACCCCGTAATATGAGGTATTTTGCAGTGGAAATTTTCTTACTCCGTATAAAACTTCTAGTTTAAATTTCAATTGAAAAGATAGTTAAATGAATTATGTAAAACGTTGCACCAAAATATATGTATAAAACGCAATAGTTTTCAATAATTTATTTAACTGTCTTATCATTAAATTTTAAATTGAAATTTTATAAACATAATCTACAATTCATGAAAAACGTTCTCACAAAGTTCATCAAAGTTTTTTTTATCGAAAATAACCTCAAATGACGGCGGCTGAACGAAAGGTCCTATCGAAACAGCCGGATAGAATCTTTTCCTAATATTTAGAATTTATAATTGAATTTTATGGTAATTTTTAGTTTGGTCGGAACAGTTGGACATGATCTTTTTGGAACAATAGATTTCTCGCTCTTGATATTGACATTGTGAGAGTTAAAGTATGCGTATTGTCATTCTCGCCAAAAACAATTAAAAGCTTTTTCACTTAAACCACAAACAAATTTTAATTATTGGAAATAGTAATTACAGTCTTAAGTGGGTATGCCGTGTGCACTTTACAGATACAGAGATTAGGTTAGCGAGTTGAACCACGAAGTTGACCGGGTCACCGACGCCCTAAGCTCGAGTTAACGCAACCCGGGCTTTAACTTTGGTCGAGTTAAGGGACCGACAGATTAGGGGCCGGAAAGGACGGATATAACCTTATGCTTCTTTAGTTCCTTTTGTTTTCTTTCGCGTCTTTCTCCTAGGTTCGGTTTCCTTTCCTTTTAGATTGAGTCCCACATCATAATCAGCTTTGATTGCTTACTCTCTAATTTAATTTAATTATTGTGAATTTCTAGGTCGACGCCATTTTTAAAGAAGAAAATTTTGTTGTTTAGTGCATCTTTAGGGCATTGTTAATTTGACTAGTTTGCCTGTCCTTGAGAAAAAATGTTTTTCTTTCTGGCTTATTCGTTGGCTTAATCTAACGATGGCATCGAATCAATTATTATAGGGACTGTTTTCCGTTAAAATATACTCCGTGATACGTACTCCGTTAAAAGTAAAATATGATTTCAATATTTCTATTTGGAGCCGGCGAGTGCAAATATACGAAGTGTTCAGATCTATTGCTACTTATAAAAGGGGTGTGCAAATAGGATTATGGTCGGTTTTTATGAGTTTTGGTTTGATTTCAATTTCTGATATATTGTATCGGATTAAAATCATTTGTATTTCTATTTCATTTTAGTTTGGTTTGGGAGTAGTTCAGTTTACTTAAATTTTAAATTTGTGTTACCAAAATGAAAATAATTAGGTTTAATTTAGTTCAATTTTATTCGGCTCATATGTTTATTGATTTATTTGATCTATGGATCGGATTGATGACATCAAAAAGTCTAGTATCTTCTCAACCAATAGAATAAAGGTCCACCTCTCAAACAAAAGTTAAGTCAATAGTTCATTAGTACTACCGTCATCTCATTAACATTGGAACATGAAAGAGCGTCACCCTTATTAACAAAAGTGAGTTTATATAATTGATATTTAATTGATAAAGTAAGAATTTGTGTGGTAAAACCTATATTGCACGGAAACGCGAAAATAATGAGAAAACGAGAAATGAGAAACAACATCTTTTGCTAAAAGAAACTATTTAGAGAGTTTACAAAGAATTTTCATACAATTTTCAAAATGGAAACATATTTTTTACAGAAAGTTTTGGTACTTGATAGAAACACCAATAGAAGTAAAATCTTATTCGGACCGTGGACGCGCATGATTTCACAACGGATACATGGCTTGAAGTGAAGTGTTTTGGTCGTTCAACTTTATCCTTTTACAAATGGTTAAAGACAAGACAACTATGTTTCATTCCACAGTATATATGGTGCTAAGCGCAGCTTTCCTTTCCGGCGTATGACAAAACATATATGGTGTCAACTTTTAACATTCTTTTGCCATGTTGGTAAATTTTATCTACAAATTTTAAATTAGGACTCAATTACACATCTAAGTGAAAAACTGTTAGCTACTTTTATTCATTTTACACCTCAATGAATCATAGTTTTTACTTTTTTAGTACAAACAAATATATTTATAATTGTATATGAATTATGATTTATGATTCACGGTTTAATTTAATCCTATGAACAGTAAGTTTATATTCTAGTTATATTTGGGCCGTACTCTGAGAGGAGACTGAAAATAATTTTTGCAAAAGTTACCAAAAGGATTGATTATTCGTGGAATAAAAAACAATGAAGTAACGACATTACCTAACATCCATGACCATACTTCCGAGTTCTGACTCACAGAAGTTCAATTCAAGTGATATTATAAGTAAAATCAACTATTCGTAGTACGTAGTACGAGTATTAGACAAAAAAAAGTGCACGCTTGAAGTGTGCTGATGGACAGGCAAACACATGCATAAATGAACAATTAAAAATGACATTGTTTTACAAAACAAACGGAAATTATTTTGATCCATAGTATTCAGATCGAAAAGGTCAATGGTGTAGAATGGCGATCGCGTTTTTTATTCATTGGATTCTGTTTTTGTTTTTGTAGTTTTATCTACCAATTTTTACACAATTTACTCTTTCTTTCCCATAAAATGTAGTCAAATTTGACTAGCTAGTAGGTAAATAAGAAAGTAAAAAATACATAATTGAGATTTATATATATAGAAACGAATTAAATATCACATGATCGAATTCTAAATTAGTTAATTAAACATGAAATGACAAAATTTTGAGAACGACCTAGATCGAAAATAAGCAAAATCAACAAAGTTTAGTGGAACACGAAAAGTCTAGTATATATCACGCATACTATGAAGTACGTAGAATGTGTCCGGAAAAACACTCCGGACTTTCCCGCTTTGTGAAGTTAAGATAGGCACTTAGGAAATAAGGTAGCAATGGGAGCACACGATTTAAATTCTCCAATATGGAGATTCTTCTACTATACAAAAGAATAGTAGGGGTATACAAGGATGTTACAAAATTGTCTCACTCAATGGTGGCTCACTCAAGCTTGAGGATGATGTCTTCCCAAGCTATCTCTCTTCTCTCTCAAAGAGGCTCTCTAACTTTCTCACTCTAGAAGTGGATTCACTCTTGGCTAGGATTTGTTAGGAATGGAGGCTCCTACTCCTATTTATACTACTCCAACTCCCTAATGAATGGTGGAGAGTAGTTCTCTAGAATGCTCTACATATGTCTACATATTCTAGAAAACTCCAAGGAATCTCTACACCTCTCCATTCTCTTCCATATGCTTCCATACTCTTCCATAGGCTTCCGGAAGGTTCCACACATCTCTAGAATATTCTAGAGGTTTCCACACTATTCCACAAGCTTCTAGAGAGTTCTAGACTTCCCTAGGATTCTCTGGAACGTTCTAGAAAATTCTATACTTCTCTAGATAGCTCTAGAATTTTCTAGAACCTCTCCAATTAAGGAGGGATCCCAACAAATCTCCCCCTCACGACTTAATTGGGGGGTAGTAGCAAACCTGCACCTTGACAGCAATCTTCGAACTTCTTTGTCGGTATTACCTTGGTCATCATGTCTGACCAGTTCTCGTCGGTGTGAACCTTGTCAAGATGCAATTTCTTTTCCTCGAGGACTTCTTGGATCCAGTGATACCTGTGAAATAATGGGAAAGGTACTCCAATAGGAGTCCTGGCCTTTATATTTATAATAGAAGAGTTTAAAACAAACTAGGAAACAAATCTTCCTAATAATATTCTATTACACCCCCTCAAACTGTGCGGGAGATACAACGCGCAGGTTGTCTTTTAAAAAATGAAACTGCTGACTAGAAAGACTTTTAGTAAAAATATCAGCTAATTGGAGTTGTGTAGGGATGTACTGCACGACTAAGTCTCCATGCGCCACACGTTCTCGTACGAAATGATAATCTATCTGGATATGCTTGCTACGCGCATGCTGAACAGGGTTTGCAGTCAAATATGAAGCAGAGATGTTATCACAAAAAAGCTTAACGGGAACAGTAACTGGAAAGCCAAGCTCATAGAGAACTGAACGAATATGCAATGTATCCTGAACTGTATATGCAACTGCACGATACTCGGCTTCTGTAGAGGACTTTGACACAGTGGGCTGCTTCTTGGACTTCCAAGAGACCAGGTTGGGACCCAAAAATATGGCAAAACCCGTCGTGGAGCGTGATGTATCTGGACAACCTGCCTAATCTGCATCTGAATAGGCAATAACACAGGTGGCTTTCATAGTCGGTTGAAGCCATAAACCGTGGTCAATAGTCCCCTGCAAGTATCTAAAAATACGCTTGACTGCAAAAAGATGAGTAGTACGAGGAGCATGCATAAATTGAGACACTAAATGCACAGCATAGGTAATATCAGGTCGTGTCAAAGTTAAATATTGTAACGCACCAACCATACTACGATACTCAGTGGCATCTGCTAGAAGCTCCCCATCAGTGAGGGATAAAGAAGTGCGAGTAGCCAGAGGAGTACGAACAGATTTAACAGTGTGGAGATGAAAACGAGAGAGAAGGTCAGACACATATTTATGCTGAGAAAGAAATAAGCCTTTAGCAGAACGTACAGCCTGGACTCCCAAGAAATAATGAAGATCTCCAAGATCTTTCATAGCAAAGTGTTTAGCAACAGTCTGAATAAAAGATGTAATAGCAGCAGAAGAATTTCCAGTAATAATTATGTCATCTACATATAATAATAAATAAATGACAGTATTATTCTGGCGGTAAATAAATAATGAATTATCAGACTTGCTGCACGTAAAATGATGAGACAACAGAAAACTACTAAAACGATGAAACCATGCCCGCGGGGCTTGCTTAAGGCCATAAATGGCTTTTCGCAATCTACATAGGTGATTAGGAAACAACGGATGAGTAAACCCCCGCGGCTGACGCATATAGACTTCCTCTGTGAGGTGACCATGCAAAAATGCATTTTTGACATCCAATTGACGAATGACCCACCCAAAAGAAATAGCTAATGTAAGGACAATACGAACAGTGGTGGGTTTAATGACAGGACTAAAAGTCTCAGAAAAATCTACACCTGCTTGTTGATTAAATCCTTGAGCTACCAACCGAGCTTTATGGCGCTCAATAGACCCATCTGAATTATATTTAGTCTTAAAAATCCACTTAGAGCCCACAATATTTTTAGAATTATCAAACGGAACTAAATCCCATGTATTATTAGAAATAAGAGCATTAAATTCCTCTGCCATCGCCGCACGCCATTTTAACTGTTTATTAGCCTCTGAAAAACATGTAGGATCAGCTGATAAAACAACAGTGTTTAAATTAAAAATGGTTTTTGGTTTAAAAATCCCCGACTTCGCCCTCGTCTGCATAGGATGAGTATTAACGGCGTTGTCGTGGCTAATAGGAGAAGAGGATGCGGCTTCCGTGATTATGACAGACGAGTGGTTGGAAACTGTGGTATCGGGTAAGGGAACGGAAACACTGGTTTCAGTCAAGGGGACAATGGGGTGGACGGATGTGGAACTGGGAGTTTGGGTAACGTCAGGGGAGGAGGTTATTGGGGAATGGCGTGAAGTGGCTGGTGTAATAGGATCGGCGATTGGCTGAGAAGTGGGAGATTGTGGTGCAGGCTGGGATGGGGGGTAGTTGTCGGCTGGGTGCAAGGGTGAGGATACTGCCGAAGTATAGGGAATGGGATTGACGGGAAGGGAAGCAGGTGGTGGAGAAGTGGTATTTGTGAGAGTGAGATCATCAACAAGAGGAGTAGTAGGAGAGGGAGTATGACCCGTAGAAGAAGTCAAAGTGGTGTAAGGAAAAATATTTTCATGAAAACGAACGTGTCTGCTAATATACACTTTGCCAGACTTGGGTTCCAAACAACGATATCCTTTAAAACCGGATGCATAACCAATAAAAACACATTGGACAGAACGTGGAGATAGTTTATTTGAAGGAGAGGCAGAAAAATTGGGATAACACGCACACCCAAAAACTCTTAAAAAACTATAGTCAGGGGGTTTTTGAAAAAGAATATCGTAAGGAGAAACACCACTAAGTAACGGAGTAGGAAGTCGATTAATAATATATGCAGCTGTAAAAATAGCATCAACCCAAAAAGTGCTAGGAATAGAGGCTGTAATAAGCATAGTTCTAGCGAATTCCAAAAGGTGGCGATGTTTGCGTTCAGCAACACCATTTTGTTGAGGGGTATGGGGGCAAGATTTTTGAAAATAAATGCCATGTGCATCAAAAAAACGCTGCATAGTAGAATTAACAAATTCACCCCCTCCATCACTTTGAAAAATTTTAATTTTAGAGTGAAACAAATTTTCAACTAAAGCTTTAAATAAACAAAATTGATGAAATACTTCACTTTTAGTGCGTAAGGGATATATCCAAGTAAATCTAGAAAAATCATCAATAAAACACACATAATATTTAAAACCTAAATTAGACAACACAGGAGATTGCCAAACATCAGAATGAATTAATTGTAATGGTGCAGAAGAAGTATGACTAGCATCCGAAAAAGGTAATCGTTGAGATTTACCCAAACGACAAGAAACACAATCATGTTCGAAATTAGAATGACCAGAAATAAGTTTTCTACGATGTAATAAGCGCAAAATAGTTTCACCACAATGACCTAGTCTACGGTGCCACACAGGGCCAGAAACAGTGATAGAAGCTAATGCTAAGGGTGCAGGCGGAGTGAGGCTGATAGGGTAAAGATGGCCATTATGACGCGCCTGAAGAAGAACCACCCCCGAAGTTTTGTCCTTTACAAAAAAATAATTTTTATCAAAAACAGCAACACAGTTGTTATCAGCACATAATTTTTGAATGGAAATTAAATTAAACTTAATTCGAGGCACATGAAAAACAGATTTTAATGTCAGCGGCCGACTAAGAGTATTTAAAGTAATATTTCCAATATTAGCAATAGGAAGCTTAGTACCGTTTGCAACACTAACAGTCATGGAGCCAGAATAAGAGGATTTATTTGACAAGATACCTTCAGATGAAGTCATGTGAGCAGAGGCACCAGAGTCCGGATACCACAAAACATCGTTGGATTCCCCAGTTGGAGCAACCAAAGCAGGTGCAGAAGGCTGTGAAAAACGAGACGGACAATGTATCGCAGAATGACCTGCAGAAAAACAAATCTGACACACAACTGGAGGAGGAACTGAACCAAGAATACCCTCAGCTGAAGGAAAACCTGCATAATGATAGTGAGTACCAGAAGTAGATTTAGCATTAATATTTAAAATGGACATGACAGATTTACCCGACTGAGCATTGTTTGGTCTCGGATGGTACACACCCCCTGCGGCTGAGCTTCCTGGTACGGCGGCAGCCCCTGGTGCGGTATAGGAAATCTGGCCGTCCCCTGGAACTAGCTGATATGTAGGCTGATTCTGGTTACGGCCTCTGCCGCGGCCCCCTCTGCCACGCGCGCCTCTGTCGCGGCCTCCTCTGCCGCGGTAAGCGTGCGGTTGGCCAGGTTGGCCCTGCTGCCCGGGACCCGTTTGTGCCCCAAAAGCTTGCTGCAAGTTGGTGGATTCCTGATGGCGCTGACGAAGGACACGTTGTTCCGCTTCAAGAAGTCTATGTTCAAGGATGTCCGGTGGAAATTCATCCGGGAACATGGATATAGTTCCCACTACAAACTCATACTCAGGGCCAAGTCCATACAAAGTACTTTGCAGTAATTCTCTATTAGTGACAGGGGAATTTATTGCAGCTAAGGCATCAACTAAATTCTTAATATCAAGCAAGTATTGTTCCATAGACTGATTGTCCTTCTTTTTAATGGAATTCAAGGTACGCTTAAGTTCCATGGCTCTAGGTAAACTAGCAGACATAAAACGTGTTTGCAAACGATTCCATATACCAGCTGAATGTTTAATATCATGCACATCAGTTAATACGTTCCGAGTAAGAGTAGCAAACAACCAAGAACGAATTGTTTGATCTACCCTAAGCCAATGATAATAATCAGTATTAATGATTTGCTGATTATTAAAATTCACTGTGTACATGGGAGGTACCTGAATGGATCCATCAATGATGCCAAAAAGTCCCTGGGACACCAAAAAGGATTCGAATTGAGTGCGCCAGGTGAGGTAATCTTCAACAGCTTTGAGTTTTATGGTCACAATTTGGGTGACATTAACACCATGAGATAGGGACTGTGCCAATAGCGCCATATGAGACCCACAAAGGAGATTGTCGTTGACTGGTCGTATGACTCCCGGTGAGCCAGCAAACGAGGGCCCATAAAATTGAGGGGATTGCGGCGGGGGTAGCGTTGGCTGAGAGAAGATGTGAGGACCCGCTGTGGCCCATGGAAGATGAGGCGGGAGGCTGTTGAAGACAGAGTGCGTCTGAGGCGGTGACCAGAACGAAGAGGAGATGTCCGGCGCCGAAAAGGAATTCTGCGGCTGCGGCGTTGGAGGAGGAACGGCGCCTGAAATCGGAGGATTCATCATCGCTGAGTGAGAAGCAGCAGACAAGGGGATAGAGGAGACATCGACGGACGAGACTTGGGTAATAGAGATGGGCTCCAGCGTTGAAGTTGAGGCCGGAACAGTAGAGGCGGCTGTCGTGGTGGTGGTGGCCATACTCGGCTGCGGCAGAAGAAGGAAAAAGAGAGATGGCAGCCGGAAAAGAAAACCTAGGCTCTGATACCATGTGAAATAATGGGAAAGGTACTCCAATAGGAGTCCTGGCCTTTATATTTATAATAGAAGAGTTTAAAACAAACTAGGAAACAAATCTTCCTAATAATATTCTATTAATACCTTGTGTCAATGTGCTTTGTGCGGGAATGAAATGTTGAGTTTTTTGCCAAGTAAATTGCGCTTTGATTATCACACTTCAACACGTACTTTTCTTGATCTATTCCCAGCTCGAGTAGAATGTTCTTCATCCACAACATCTCCTTGCAAGCTTCAGTAGCTGCGATGTACTCTGCCTCTGTGGTGGATAATGCAACACACTTTTGCAGCTTTGATTGCCAGGAAACAGCTCCCCCTGTAAAAGTAGTTAGGTAACCCGATGTTGATTTCCTTGAATCAATATCACCGGCCAAGTCTGCATCTGTGTATCCTTCTAACACAGGTTTTCCTTTTCCAAAGCATAAGCATCTTTTGGAAGTTCCTCGTACATATCGGAGGATCCATTTGACCGCTACCCAATGTTCATTCCCAGGGTTGGCCAAGAAGCGACTAACGACTCCAACTGCATAGGCGATATCTGGTCTTGTGCATATCATTGCATACATGAGACTGCCTACTACCGATGAGTATGGAATCTTCTTCATTTCCTCCATTTCTTTCCCATTTGTTGGACTTTGCTTCGAACTCAACCTGAAGTGTCCAGCAAGTGGTGTGTTTACCGGCTTTGATTTGTTCATGTTGAATCGTTCCAACACTTTCTCAATGTACCTCTCTTGGGATATCCACAACAGTCTCTTCGATCTATCACGAGTTATTCTCATCCCAAGGATTTGTTTAGCCGGTCCCAAATCTTTCATGGCGAAACTCTTGCTTAGATCCTTTTTCAAGGCATCTATCTTTATGCGATCTTGTCCAATGATCAACATATCATCAACATAGAGTAGAAGTATGAGGAAGTCGCCACGTTCATACCTCTTTATGAAGACACAATGATCGCTTTTCGTCTTTGTAAAGTCATGCTCTGCCATGAAGGATTCAAACTTCTTGTACCATTGCCTCGGTGCTTGCTTAAGGCCATATAAACTCTTCATGAGGCGACATACTAGATTTTCCTTATCCGGAACTTTGAAACCCTCGGGCTGCTCCATGTAGATCTCTTCCTCTAGGTCGCCATGAAGGAATGCCGTCTTGACATCGAGTTGTTCAATCTCCAAATCTTGAACTGCTGCTAGGCCAAGGACAACTCGGATGGATGACATCTTTACCACGGGAGAGAATATTTCCTCAAAGTCGATGCCTTTTTCTTGACCGAATCCTTTGACCACCAACCGAGCTTTGTAGCGAGGCTTTGAGCTACTATCTTCAGTCTTGATTCGATACACCCATTTATTCTTCAAGGCTCTTCTCCCTTTTGGTAGCTCCACAAGTTCATAAGTGTGATTCTCATGCAAGGATTTCATCTCTTCTTGCATGGCTTTTCTCCACTCTTCTTTATGAATATCATTGATTGCTTCTTTGTAACTTTGCGGCTCCCCCTCATCCGTGAGTGTAATGTAATCTTCGGTGTTATACCGGATGGATGGTCTTCTCTCCCTAGAGGATCGCCTCGGCTCTGGTGCTGGCAGAGAACTAGATTGAGGATCTTCCTGATTTGATTCATCATGAGTCTCTTGGTTGCTTTGCTCATGGTTTTCATCATCATTATCTTGATGTGTGTCATCCTCACGTTGAAATGGAGTAAGTTCGGTGTTCTTGCTTCTTCTCAATCTTGGCTTCTCCGAGTTCTTAATATCTTCAATCGTTTGATCTTCGAAGAAGATGACATCTCTGCTACGAACAACCTTCTAATTGATTGGATCCCATAACCGATAGCCAAATTCATCCTTGGGTGAGCGAAGGTAGATACACTCCTTTGTCTTTGCATCAAGCTTTGCTCGCTCATCCTTGGGAATGTGAACAAATGCTCGGCACCCGAACACCTTAAGATGATTGTATGAAGCCTTTTTGCCCTTCCAGACTTCCTCTGGGATGGCGCCGTTCAAAGGAACCGATGGTGTGAGGTTGACAATGTCAACTACGGTCATTATAGCTTCTCCCCAAAATGAATTGGGTAACTTAGCATGAGAGAGCACACAACGAACTCTTTCTTCAATAGTTTTATTCATTCTCTCAGCTAGCCCATTCAGTTGTGGTGTCTTGGGTGGAGTCTTCTCTAGCCTAATGCCATATTTCTTGCAATAGGCTTCAAAGGGACCTCTATACTCACCTCCATTGTACGACCGTACACACTTGATCTTCCGGCCGGTCTCACGTTCTACCTGAGCGTGGAATTCCTTGAAGGCGTCAAGCACTTGATCCTTGGATTTTAACAGGTGCAACCACACCTTCCTTGAATGATCATCAATGAAGGTCACGAAGTACAATGCACCACCAATGGATCTCTCGGACATTGAGCACACATCGGTGTGTACAAGGTCGAGGATGTTCTTTCTCCTTGTGGGCGGAGAAGATCTTTGGAAAGCAACCCTATGTTGTTTTCCAGCTAAACAATGTGCACAAGGATCGAGTGAATTACCTTTCATGTCCGGGAGGAGATGCTTGCGAGCGAGTATGTGGAGTCCCTTCTCACCGATGTGTCCAAGTCGTTTGTGCCATACCTCCATGTCATCAGTGGTTATATTTACTTCCCCTTTGCAGAGCTTGGCTTGCATCACGTACAATGAGCCTTCCTTCTTTCCTCGAGCCATGACCAGACTTCCTTTGGTGAGCTTCCATTTTCCTTCACCAAAGTAGTTCATCAGACCAGCATCATCTAACTTTCCAGCAGAAATAAGATTGAGGCGCATGGCCGGGACATGCCTCACATCCTTGAGAACAAGCTTACATCCGGTGCTAGTTGTTAGGACGATGTCTCCTATCCCAACAATCTTGCTTCTATCTTGGTTTCCCATTTGAACCGTGCCAAAATCACCGCTTTGGTAGGATGAGAAGAAACTTCCATGGGGACTGACATGGAAGGAAGCACCGGAATCGACAATCCAAGAGCTGTCATCACAAGCAATGTTGAGAATATTACCTTCTCCAACAAGATATAGCAGATCTTCTTTTGCGACCACCGCAGTGGTACTCTTCTCTTCTTGCTTCTTTGTTGGGCTGACTTGGTCTGGTATGACGTTACCGGCCTTTTGGTCTCTCTTGAGGGATCGACACTCCATTTTCCTATGGCCCAATCTTCCACAGTAGTAGCATGTGATCTTCGAGCGTGACTTGGATCTTCCTCGAGATTGATATGGATCTCGGCACTTACTGCGTCCACGAGTCTCATTCCTACCCCGGTTCTCAATAACATTGGCCTCAGGATGGATTGACTCACCTCGTTCCATTCTCCTTGCTTCTTCTCCAAGAAGACTATCACTGACGGTATCCATGGTTAGCTTTCCTTCCGGAGCTGAGTTACTAAGCGTAACCACGAGTGTGTCCCAACTTTCTGGCAAGGAACTCAGGAGTAGAAGGGCTTGCAACTCGTCATCAATCTTCATCTCAATTTTGGTTAATTGATTTACGAGCCCCTTGAAATTGTTAAGGTGTTCAATCATATTATGACCACCCTTATACTCCAACTTCACCAACCGTCGAACTAAATTGGCCTTATTACGAGGTGTCTTCTTTTGAATCATGGACTCAAGCTTAGTCCATAATTCATAAGCATTTGTGTAAGTAGAAACATGCTCGAAGAGAGATTTGTCTATGTACTTACGGATCATAGCAACGGCCTTGCGATTGAGTAGCTCCCATTGGGCATCACTCTTTCCCTCAACCTTCTCTTTGTAGATGATGGGCTCATGCAAATCCTTGCAGTATAAATGATCTTCCATCATCGGCTTCCAATATGAGTAGTTGTTGGCGGTGAGCTTGAACATGTCTCCATCATGAGCGACGTTATCCTCCATCTTGAACTGCACGAGCTAATGATGATCTCAGGTGAACCTGTCTCTGATACCACTGTTGGGAAAAACACTCCGGACTTTCCCGCTTCGTGAAGTTAAGATAGACACTTAGGAAATAAGGTAGCAATGGGAGCACACGATTTAAATTCTCCAATATGGAGATTCTTCTACTATACAAAAGAATAGTAGGGTATACAAGGATGTTACAAAATTGTCTCACTCAATGGTGGCTCACTCAAGCTTGAGGATGATGTCTTCCCAAGCTATCTCTCTTCTCTCTCAAAGAGGCTCTCTAACTTTCTCACTCTAGAAGTGGATTCACTCTTGGCTAGGATTTGTTAGGAATGGAGGCTCCTACTCCTATTTATACTACTCCAACTCCCTAATGAATGGTGGAGAGTAGTTCTCTAGAATGCTCTACATATGTCTACATATTCTAGAAAACTCCAAGGAATCTCTACACCTCTCCATTCTCTTCCATATGCTTCCATACTCTTCCATAGGCTTCCGGAAGGTTCCACACATCTCTAGAATATTCTAGAGGTTTCCACACTATTCCACAAGCTTCTAGAGAGTTCTAGACTTCCCTAGGATTCTCTGGAACGTTCTAGA